ATATAGGGTATATTTTCAACCGTTCCGTACGTCTTCAGTCCCTCAAAACTAATAACTTAATAATGAATCAAGAAGATGGAAACGACAGAATTGTCGAGACGGCCGTGACGACAGAGAGAGATAGTGATAATAGTTGGAGGGAGGGAGAGGGAGAGGGAGAGAAAGAGGGTGAGAACGAGAGGGTGCGGCGAGAGGATGAAGGCGAGAGGGGGAACAAAGCAGGGGCAAAGAGCTTTAAAAAAGAAGGAAGAGATAGAGAGATAATTATTAGATAGGTAGATAGATAGAAGAATGATAGATAAGGAGACAAAGAAGAAGAGGAGGAGGAGGAGGAGGAGAAGAAAGAGGGAGGGTTTGAGAATAATTTCAATTATTGTAAGCACTTGCGTTATCACCGCGTCTGTACCAGCGAAATTGTCGCTCTTTTAAACATGGCATAGCAAATTACAGCATCAATACAATTAATTTAATTAGCAGTTCATTTTAGAATGTGAGTGCGGTTTACACCATGTGGGTGACCAATCGGAGACCGATATAATGAGATGGTAATTATCACATATTATCTCAATTTTGGCCGGACAGACAGCATCGCCAGACGATTATTTTACTCAGATTTACAATTTGATTACAAAATGCATTATGCAACTATACATGTATGTTATCTAATGGGGCTATCCAGAGAAAACTTACACTGTTACGCGCTATGAATTTGAATATATTGTCACTAATAATATATAGTTCTTTCAAAGGCAGATGATTTTTACCTTTTTTATTGAGTGACCATTTATCAAATAATATACAGTTATGGACGTGGCAAAATTTCAGACCTTTATACCTAAGCTTGAAAGTTTATGAAAATACAACTAACATAATAATTCGAAGCTAAGGTAATCCATGAATGATTAAAACAAATACAATATATCCTAGTTTATCCGTCATAATTGCATCTGATCTTGATGAGAATAAAATTATCTATTCTATATTTCTATATAAGGCAATGCATCTATGAAAATACAACTATGAAGATAGTAACAAAATTCATGAGAACATTTTACCCTTGATTTATTTTTAATAAATGATACAATATCCGAGTTTATCTGTCATAATTGCATCTGATCTTGATGAGAATACAATTATTTATTTTCAATGAAAGGCAATATATCTTTGAATCAAATATATCATCGTTCGATACTTTTCAGATATTAAGCTAATAAAAAACATAAACCTGTTAAAGAGAGGGGAGATACGGAATAGTTCCTGCGTAACCATCTTTCTGATTTCGTTCACGATGTCTCTGATTTTGATGAACTTGTTTTGACCCCACCTTCTCTGCTCTGCAGACAACGAATCCACTCCTTGAAGAAACCGATCTTGACAAATGACTTATAGAAGCTGTCAAGAGGTGTAAACGTCATCTATGACGTCATCCATCTTGTCTCAGAAGAACTGGTTAACCAGGTTTCAAGTAGTCACGCACAGTGATAATCAGGTTAACCACTATGTCTTATCCGAGCACGTACGATCCTCGTAGATCAGTCTCCTACAGACCCCTTGCCGTCTTTATACCGGGCTTGACTGGTTTATTAGAGACATTGCTAGGTGGTATAGTGGATGATTAACTCTCGGTTCACCCATTCACCGCAAAAGATCAAAATCCTAATGAGATGAAGTTCATGAATGGAAAGGGTTGTACCCCGGACAACTACCACTATGATATTAAACCCCTGACTCCTAAGCCCGGACAAAACATAACATCAGGCTACCCTTAGACAACCTATCAAGGTATAGCGGTGGTTGCCCAGAGGCTAATTGTTCCTAGGGTCACGCAGGGGATTCATAGTTGTCCGAGGAAAGTTATACTGTTGGGAGTTGTACTATTGATAGAATACGACATACAATCGATGTAATTTAAAAATAAAATAGAAAGGAGACCGTTATTTGGACAAGATAAAACGATTCCTCTACAAGACGCGCCAGCCTTTTTGTTTATATGGCAGTCGTTCTAGAACCAGGAGCTCCAGGGTTCGAAACCACAACAATACGGTATAATGCCTTTACTTGCATGGGCATCAATAATTTCTCATTACCCCTTCCTTCAGATTCGACGCTCATTAAGTTGTAAGTCCCTGTCGGATAAAATGATTTCCAGCATCATCATATCAAAGGCTTTTAGAAAAAAAGGAAATCATCTCATCCAGAGCCATTTATATACAGAGTTTGGCCAACTTGATTTCAGTTGGTCTCAACATGGCGTATGTTCTTTTGTTCTGTGCTAGCCCAACAAAGCTGTATTCGCCATAATACTAGAACCGGGTTTGCCAAACTCTATATATTAATAGCTCCGATTACATCATTATTACACCCCCTCTTCCTCTGCTACATAAGTCTAACAATTAGAAAAAAAACATGGAGGAAAACACAGCGAAGGCTATAGTTTTTTGTCTCTTATTGCAGGTGAGGTTTGCAGGCCAATTCCGAGCTGACAGGATGAAATGATATATAGCTGTCATGAATCATCATCATTATACCCTTCCTTGATCGAATCCAGCCATAATTGGTCGCCCTAACTCCTCTCAACCTGAATGAATCACGAATTATATACAACCGTGTTACTTCAATATAACGTATACTGCTATGACTTTACTAACCACTGGTTATCATATTTTTAATCCCAGTGTACTGATCTGTAAGATGAAATAAGGCAGACCAACTATAAGGTAGCCACTTACCCATAAAACACCAAGGTTTTTCTTAAAAACGAATATTTCATTATAGCGGCCCAATTATGGCACGTTCCTTTGGTAGAATAGGTATCTTCATACGTGTACCACATGACTCAAATTTCATGAAATGATTATTTTCCTTAACATTAAAAAACATGCACGATTCAGCAAGTGACAAAGCTCCCAGCTGGGTGGAGAATCATTATCTGCATTATTCATGACGTAGTGTCGATTTTGCAGTGACGTATCCAGACGTTTTGATTAACAGAGGGGGCGTATCCCTGTTTTAGGGGTACAATTTTAGTACTGCAATTTATTCTCTCTTTTTCTGGGCTGTCAAACGGGAGGGGGGGGGGGCGGCTCCCCCCTCATGTTGAATACGCCACTGGAAAATGAAACTCAGATCAGTCACAGGTGAGGCATTAAACACAGACAGACTCATGAGCTCCATGTGGCTCACACCTTGCCGCGTCATATATATTCCCCATCGGAGCTCGCCTCATCTGTTTTGAAGTTCACATACGTTACTGTTAGTCCATGCTTGACGCAAGTAGGGGCATCGAGGGAGACATTACAGAGGTGGGGGGGGGGGGTGGGGGAGTGTGATTCGGTTGAATTCCATGCCCTCGTTGTTAAACATCCCGCAACTTCCTTCGATGTAATGCTTGAGAGAGTCTGGTTGCTTGCAAAGGTCTTGTTCCTGAACCCAGCAGGAAGTTGTTGGAAATGTATCATATTGCAAGGATGTTGTCCCGATGTGTTCGGTGAGAAGCCGCTAATTCTGCATTGTCATCAATGTCCCACCTGCTGTAGGTATCTCTATGAATATCTGAAGGTCACGGGGGAAGTGGGTAACCCTTTGGTAACCCCTTCGTTTGGAAACATGGAAGTAAGATCCTTGTCTCAACCTTTAGACTTTTCCGAGTTATGACATTCATTATTAACACCCCCATTATGTTGTGGTTGTTGTTAACATTAGAGCACGGATATCCATGGCTAGAGGATTAACAGGTTGCGAGTTGTAGAACAATTCATTCGAAATGCTATTGACAGAAATGTAACAAACGAAAGAAGATCGTCTAGTGAACTTTACTTTGATGATGTGAAAGGAATATAGGCCTAATAACGACGAATTCATTCGACGTGAACATGATGCATGTAAAATAGTAGGCATATCTCTTGATTATCATGTTAAACCACTGTTCAAAAAAGATCATCGAAGAAGGACAGATTATAGGAATAATGTTGATTTTGTGAGTAGATTTTTATAAAAGTATAAAAGATTTGTAAATGAAGCCGTTTACAAATTCGAAACGCCATACTAACTTGCAATAAATTTCATGACATATATACATAGTGAAAGCTTCATGTGCATGAGCAATATCGAAAAGTCTTAATACAGAGAACTAAAATTCCGCCTTTTTAAAGAGTTATGATGTTGATTACGTCCTTTGGAGGTTATTCCACTCTAGTTATAGTATTCCAGTCCAAAGTAATGATTAAATAACTCTTTTAAGAGTGGACTCAGCTATTCTTTGGAGTGTATTTCCACTCCGAATGATCCCTAATAGTAATAAGAATTCCTAAAATGTCGACTTCCACTCCTGTATATTACAGAGAGTAAAACAAACACGGAAAGAAACACCTGTAATACTTGATTTGACAAGTTATCATTACATAAAACAAGATAGAGAGAGAGAGAGAGAGAGAGAGAGAGAGAGAGAGAGAAAGGGGGAAAAAGAAGGAAAAAAGATAGATCATGATAAGGGTCAGGGGATGTAGGTTATAATTGGACTGTTAACAAGTGCTTCATAAGTAACAGGTGTATGTTACCTGGTTTTGAAGAACTAATTAAGGTAGGCAAAACTTAGTCACCACCGGACTTGATTATTAAAGGGCCATCCTATCCTTATAACACCTTCGTTTGTGTGCCATTGAAGATTATCTCATGTTAATTGTTAGGGAAACTGGATGTTGAGCGTTTAATATAGCAGAATAAGGAGGAATTCAATTAATGCCATCCACCAGATGACAACTAGTGGACAAAAGTCGGTTCCTTAATTTCATATGTAACCATAGTTACTAAAAAAACACAGCACAATCAGCCTTTAAAGTGGCTAATGACAACATGCAAACCATGATTCTTTTTGTTACTTCGAAACAATATTCGACATAACAGTACTGTATACAAACGCCATCGCTTGCTCTATTATCACGATCATGATGATTTAACAAAATTAATTACGATATTGTATTTTCTTCTTTTCGTTTCTGTAGGAGAACCAGAGATGAAGTACATTGCAAACATGCATGGTAACGAGCCAATCGGTCGAGAACTACTCATCCACTTTGCCGAATTCCTCTGTATACAATACTACAAAAAGGACTTCCGAATACAACGACTGGTCAATGAGACTAGGTTACATATCTTATTTTCGATGAATCCAGACGGCTTTCAGGAAGCCTACGAGCTCTTCAATTCATCTCAGGTAATTATAATTGTTTACCAGCTTTTTGTCCGACTCCTTTCAAGAAAAAGTTGCAATTCAACGCGAATCCAGGAATGAACAAAACAAACAAAACTGTGACTGTAAACTCTTGAATCTAATTGGACGAAAGTTAAGTTTTGTTAAGCGATTGTTTTTATATTAGACTTGATACTGGTCTCAAGCGTTTTTTAAAATTAATTTGTGCATTTTTGTATGGTAGCGTTGTTTGTCATTACTATTATCATTACCCTAAATGTCTAAAGATATACTGGAGTTCTGGTCATGCAAATATAATTCAAAGAAATCTGTTTTGGGGCACTGGGGAAAGTGTAGTAGGCTCTACAGTCTGCGAGGTTTTAAAATCACCAACATGAGATGAATTGAATCAACTGCGTCGAGCTGAGAGTCACATGCACCACATCGCACACAATTTATATGAGAGTTTGGGCCACACTTTTCAGCTGTATCAGGTCATGTTCGAAAATCAGGGCATTAGTAGAGGGACATTTTCTGCTATATGATGTATTCTTCCAAACTAACCTAAAGAGAATGGCTTTCCTAACTAATTATTTTCACCTTTTCTCTGAACTCAACTTTTCCTTTAAATATTTTGTTCTCTCACAGGGACTCTCCTTGCCGTACTATGGACGGTCGAATGCGAATGGAGAGGACCTCAACAGAAACTTCCCCAACCTCAACAACATGGCGTACGAGAGCGAGCGTTTGAGCGGCAAAAATCACCACTTTATTCCACTCAAGTCAGATCTCTTAAAGGTAGGATCTCAACAAGCATTTTGCAGTATTATGTCAATAAACAGTGGCGTAGAGATGGTCCTCCTACAATGTACTGAGTAGGCATTGGTACCGGGTCGGGGGAGAGGGAGGGGAGGGGGTGTTGCGGCCTCGGGCTACTAAATAGATGTAATGCGAGGGAACAAGGCTATCGAGTAAAGAGAAGGTTATGGGTGGGGTCGTATCGTCTTCTTTTTTGTTCTCTTTACCACCTTTTAGCTACGTCACTGCCAGCAACAACTAAAATTTTTACATTTCAAAATAAATCGAGAAAAGGGACCCATGGTGTTATTTTTTTGGGAAATTAAATGTATTATTGTTATTATTATTATTGTTAGTATATTCAATATTTTACTTTTCATTGTTAACGCTTTTTTGTTATTATAAGGGGGATTTGTATGCAGACTTTAGGCTGATCACCCCGCCTCTAAATGACAATATTTCAAAAAATTTGACGTAACTAAAAGCTGGTAGGAGCGAAAAGTACGAAATTAAGCAGAAAATACTCCGTGATTCACCCACTTTAATTTGGATTGACCATTGACTCATACACTATAGAAAGGTGTTCCCAAATTCCAGTAGATATGTTACCATGACCCGTATGAACTCACGTCTATTATCTGCGTGTTTACACGACTCATAGGCATAAGCTGTAGGCATGCTATTTATATACTAGAAAAATCTTGGGAAAGTGTTAAACTGTGTTTAAAAGTAGTTCGCTTCAAACCCGTCAAGATTTTTTGTTTCCACCTGCCCTAAAACCATCATTGATTTGCTCGCCATGTGTAACACTGATATTAAATAAATTATCGTTGACTTTCTTTTCGTTTCTTCTCATTGCTCTCCAATTTTCCTCGGATTGAGAATCTGACGAAGCTCTGATTAACAAAATGGCTATGTCTCCGTGTCTTCCTATTAAAAGAATGTTGTATTATCAAACAAAGATATATTCAATTCTCTTTTCATACATGTTTATTGTTACTTTCAGATTTTATTTTTGCAAGTACACAAAAATACGAATCTGTAAACTGAATTTTTTTTTTTATGTGAGATGTATGTAACAGAGTTCAGATACGACGTATCACGAGAATATGTTGCAACTAAGCAAACAAAAGAAAACAAAATCAGAATTAACTTAAAAAATTTAGGGGCAACAACCCTTCATATAAATGTACGTAAATAATAGCGATATTGTATATTATACATTGCGTCATCCCTATATTCGCATAAATTGAAATCTTGTATACATCTTATGTGTACGAAGAGACTATAAAATATCAATATTAAAGGTCAGATACAGATGTATATATTCAGTTTCCGTGGCAACGTAGACGTGTAGAATACGACTAACGAAATCGAATATTAGCCAGATCTTTTTTTTTCACAGCCAAAGGCAAAACAAATATTACCAAAGGTCAATACTTTGACGATAGGTGATTGCTCGTTGAGCGTTAATGACGAATAGAAAAAGGCGCGATCGCGTGATTTGTAAGTGTTTGGCCGAGAGGGATAGGGCTGTTGGGTGATAAAGTCATCTATTATTACAAACTTGAAATGTTAGTGGGTTTTTGTGGTCGTTATACCCCCTAAGGAAGCTGGAAAGAAGAGACAAAACAGAGGGATAATCCTCATAGTTTGTAATATACACTTTCTTGATTATTCAGAAAATGAACAACGTGCCATAATATTTGAAAATATTTGTTACGCCACTTTTAGTAAAAATACGCACATAATAGGAGTCCAGAAGAAGTCTTTCAATATATAAATCTCTGCCTGTTTGCTATCATGTTTATAGTTTCCATGAATATAAAACTCATGTATTGTCTACAGTGTAAGAATTCAATCAATAAAGAGGATACTTCTAAACAGTTTGATAAAGTATTGTCTTGAATTCTCGTAATTAATGAAATGGCTTTTCGAGAGGACAAAATGGCCCGAATTGATTGAAAATGGTAAGTGATGCAGTAGATGAACTGTTTTTCAAATGAGGATCGAAAATTATATCAAGCCAGGCTAAATAAATAAATCTATAGTAATTGTTTGATCAGACGCAGACTTTTTTTGTTTTAATGTCAATAGCCTTAGGCATTTCCTAATTCGAACATATCTGTGGGATATTATATTATAGGATATTGTAATTTCTCTTGAGCTGTTTTGTGGAAAGTCTTTGTTATCGTATTATATAATACAATTTTAAAAAATGTTTTATCATCAGCTCCAACCAGAGACAGCCAATGTCCTACGATGGCTAAGCGACTACCCCTTTGTGCTATCAGCCAACCTCCACGAGGGTGAGATGGTAGCCAACTACCCGTATGATACCAGCAGGAGCAGGAGAAGCTTCTACACCGCCAGTCCTGATGATGCCGTCTTCAAGCACTTGGCACAGACTTACGCAACCAAACATGCCTTCATGAGCACCAGGACCGAACCGTGCCCCTACACGGGTGCAGAGGTCTTCGCAGGGGGCATCACGAACGGAGCGGATTGGTACTCGATCAGGGGAGGTAAGATTCGTATTATCAATAATAGTAATATTTATATCATGTATATAGCGCTGAATACTATGACCCTAAGCGCTGTAATGTTATTATAAGATGTGATGATGATGATGGTGGTGGCGGCGGCGGCGGCGGTGGTGGTGTTGATGGTAATGGTGATGATGATGATGATGATGCTGATGGTGGTGGTAGGGGTGGTGGTGGTGGTGATGTTGGAGATGATGATGATGATGATGGGGTGGTGGTGGGGATGTTGATAGTGTTGATGACTGAGATGGCGACGTAGATCTTATTTCTCTCCTGCAAGGCTAACGATTGACAAGTATGTGTGTTTCATATTGTAACAATAATACCTATATCCACACTATAAAGGAAATTGATAACGATATTGAATCTTGATTCAGACAATGATAAAGTGTGTACTTGCAAAATGTTGCCTATAGTCCCGGAAGCGTTTGTCAGAATGTGGAACTAAAACTTCAAAAATTTGTCTCACTTGGGACAAAAATCAAAATGAGAAGTTTGAAAAAGAATTACCCTTTGACCCAGACATGCGATCCCCAATGCATGACGTCACAATCCCCAATGCATGACATCACAATCATCATGTCTATTAATGTGTCAAAGATTGGAATCTCACACGAGCAGTTCTTTCACAAGTAAGCGTTTCTTGTTAGAATATCAAACATTTTGCTACCTGCATGCAACATCTTCCCGTCTGATTACAATCTGAAACTCTCTTCGGTTCCGTTGACAACATCAATGTTCTTTCTCCGAGACCCTCTAATGTGTCTGGGCACTCTCCGGGGAGGGATACTAACGCTTTCACCATGGTAACTGCGAACCTGGCCCGATGATGCATTCCCATGTAGCCTTTGTACTTTGCATCAATAAATATTTTACTCATTTCACGTACTGCCTAATGGAACCTAGTCGTTTCTGTATTGAACCTGTGGGAATAAGAAAACCATTTGTCGGTGGGTTTATTCTAAATATACGATGGAGTAGACCCATGCAGGTTAGAGTCATTTTCCCGGGCATTCAGACGAAGTGGGGGGGGGGGGGGGGATTCATCGATATTTGTACCCTTTCAAAATGCTTTAAAGACATACAGCGCAGAACATTGAGTATTACATTTTGATGCATGTACAACAGTGGCACCGAGCAGTCGCTCACTTTGTTCATTTAGGCTACTCTGATCAGTAGGTCCATATGCTCTGATCATGGAACCAGGCGCGTACGCAGGAATTTTTCAAGGGGGGGGGGGTTAACATTCTTAAATCGGGCCGAAAATTTCGCAACGACTCAGCCAGCCGCTGAATAAGCGGGGGGGGGGGGGGACATTTAAAAAAAAATTGGTCTCGAAATTTGAAAATTTGACATTTTGCTCCGGTGGGAGGGGGGGGGGGGAAGGTCAACCTTTTTAGGTCAGCCATTGGTACATTGTTTAAAAAAAAAAAAAAATTAACCCCCCCCCCCCCCCCCCCCCCCCCCCCTGCGTACGCGCCTGCATTGAACAGTTTTATATCTCCATGACTCTACCATTTAAACCCGTCCTCTGCCACGGGGTGGTTACATATTGAAACATTTGAGAACTATGCATTGAATAATCAAATGAAGAAAAAAAATGACTTGGTTTACTAAAGATCGCATGCACTCCACACAGAAGTGGGATTTTATGACTAAATACATACATTTGGTATGAGGGTTTGTTCCAAATTTTCAGTCATTTCTCGTCATATTTCGAGGATTTGGTATTTTCTCAGCTGTCCCTATTCAGGGGACATTTCTTCCCTGATTTTTCTTCCTAACTGACATACAAAGATTGAAGAAGCTCACAAATTATCTGTCATCTTTTACCAGATTCCCTTGAAGCCCCACCGCACTACTTATAGCTACTTGTGCCCTCTATACAGCCAACAATACCTAATCGGTGCCTGTTGGTCCCCCATGATTATCTTTTTCTTATGTTAATTGAGAGCTGACTTGATGATAAAACGACCTGTCAGTGACTTTGCAGGGAGGTCTAATCCCCTCTGGCCAAACTAGTACAGACGGGTTTTAAATAAAAACGTTCTACCGTTATACCTCCATGTTTTTTTTTTTTTTTTTTTTTTTTACTAAAGTACTCTCATGATATCACTAAGGATAGAAGTGAGAACCCCCCCCCCCCCCACTAGCCTGAGGCCCTCTTCCATCGACCCATCTCATCCGGACCAATATCCATCATACTTGACAGATTTACAAGATTAAATCCTCTCTAATATATCACGTTTACATCATAAACATTTCATCTTTCACATTTTCTGTGAATTTCTTTAATTGAAAAGTCGTATATTATCGGTTGCTCTCTAGGAGGCCGTATGAGCCATATATTGTCAATTGCAGTATGACAACGTACATGCTTTTACAAATGTATTCATCATCCCGTATCTAACGAAAGAATGTTTCATTAGGCACTAAATTGTGTATTAAGTTCATTAAAATCGTATGATTTTACAAAGGAAAACAAAATGCAGGGACTTGCATGGTTCGGCATGGGTCTGGATAATCTGCAAAGTACTACAGGTATCTGATTGTTACCATCACAGATGAGACAGTCACGTGATATTTCCGTTTCTTAGGATTTTCATGTTTCGAACATCACTCGTGAGAAAACTGAAAGCAAATGGCAAATCCCGATACACACATAATACAGACATGATAGGGATTTCGAAGCTGATTTTGTTCTGAAAGAAGAATTATAATATGAGACGGACTTGTGAAAGGTATTAATGATAATTTTGACATAAAATGAATGACTTGCGATTAGGTTCATGTCTGTAATTAAGCACAATCAGCATGGGGAAGAGGAAGGGGGTCAGTTCTACACCCTTGTGGGATCCTCGTCTACTAATTTTCTTATTAATATTACTTATTAGAGTGTCAGACATGGTGAGTAAAATCATAGACCTGAATAGGGGCGGTGGTAAATGGGAATGTTTTGACTGGTTCATTCAAGATGGAAAGGAAACAAGGTGCCGCGAAAGGGTATTTTCTCACAAAGCATGGTCACAATTTGTAGCTAATTTGGTGATGTCCTCTTGGGTCTAGGGGGTGGGCGTCCGAGTAGGGGTGAGTGACCGGGTCCTCTTGGAGGCGAGAGACGACCGTGACAAAGTGAGACGTGGGTAGCAAGAAGGGAAAGGTCACAAAGAGGCACTGACAGCAATATCAAATCTCTCCATATACCCCCCCCCCCCATGTTGTCTAAAATTGGTCCACCCCTGTAAGATGACGCCAAAACGCGGTGGCTCTGTAATTTATCATAACAACAAGAATTGTACGATTTTTTTTCCTGTCCTGTTCTCATTAAGGTAAATACGATGCGAAAGGATACTGTGGGGGTCTTTAAACGCCGTTTTCGTTTAGATGAGACATAATTGATATTGAGATGATGAATATGGTTTTACTTTTGTCACTGGAAATCATCACGGACATTTTTTTTTTTTTTTTTTTTTGGGGGGGGGGGGGAGAGTGGGAGTGGGGGGGGGCTGGGTTGGATTGCAGTGATTGTCTCTGCTTCATGTTATAAATGCTACATACCCATTTCCTCTAACGGACATGGACGATAAACTTTGATAAAATGCATATGCATACAAATTATTGAATCATGTTTTCTAGGATACGAGGCATTAAAATTTCTATAATTGTTTTTTTTTATTGAGACGGGGATGGGGCACTGCTCTGGTTAACATCATGTAATGAGGTTAAAGGATGTTGATCTATGATTTGGTGTATAAGGCTCTAGCAGCGGCTTTACATGGGTTACATGCCCCCGATAATATGCCCAAAAAGAAAAAGAGAAGAGAAGAAAGAAGAAGAAGGTGAGAGGGAGAGGGAGAGAGTGAAAGGGACGAGAAAGGGGATATATAGGATAATTTTGCATCCATGTACTATTCAATGGTCTTTTATAGTGGACCTAGCTCCGTTTTTTATTCACCGAGTAAGAAGGGTGCCCCCGGAAACCAGCGCCCCTCAATGGCTGGACCCTTGTTACGCCACTGGGTTCTGTTATTACTAAATTGATATAAGAATGTTAAAGATTGTTGGTCTGTTTCATATTTAGATGAGGGGCGGGGCTCGAAACTTTTATTAAGTAAATATGTGAAAGGTTATTGATCTATAATACATTGACACGGGCATTGACATAGGAAAGGAGAGGGGGTGGAGTTTTGTTTTAGATGGCACTAACATCATTTGAAAAGGTTTAGTGGTATGTTTTACATTGAGATGGGGGGGGGGGTGGGGTAGAGGGATGTGGCTTGTAAGTTTTAAACGGGACGCATCGCGTACATGGTGTGAGTGTGTTGGAAGTTTTTGATCTCTTATAGGCGCGGGGGGGGGGGGGGTGAGGTTTCGGAATGGTAGTTGTCGATATAATTATCTTCTATTGAGAAGGGGTGTGCCTTCGCTGTGTGAGAGGTTGTTGCTGAGATGGGGGATGCGGCTTTGGAATGGTAAACATCAAATAAGAATTTTAAAGGTTGTTGATCTATTCTGTGATGATTCATACTCTTGAGGACTGATTGATGCCAGAAATGCTGCCTAAAGAAGACAATTTGTTGGGGTTTATTTTTGTTCGACTGAACTTTACGCCACCACGAACGAGAAATATGTTTTATTACCATGGCTACGGTGCAAGAGTCAGACAGATCAATTTTTTAAACGCGTTCATCAATTTATTCATTGAAAATTGATATTTATATTATCTAATATAAAACCAATATTATCTAATAAAAAGCCTATACAATCTATATACCTTTACTCGATACAACGACTAAATTCCATTCAAATCATTGATAATATCTTCCAAATACAAAGTAAACGGCACTTCCTATTCTCAAGATTTTGACATTTAGAAAAGAGAGAAAGAGAGACAAAGAGAGTGGGAGACAAAGAAAGAGAGAGAAAGAGAAAGAGAGAGAGAGGGGGAGAGAGGGAAAGAGAGAGAAAGAGAGAAATTCAGGGAGAGAAAGAAAGAATGAATTAGAGAGAGAGAGAGAGAGAGAGAGAGAGAGAATCAGATGTAATGCACATGATATACGTGACGAGAGGCGGTGAAACTTATACAATAATCGTACAGGATATAAAGCAAAAATGAAATCATTCCATTGCACCATCAACCATCCCCATAAAAACATAATCATCATCCGTTGACGACAAAAATATATTTGTGGTCGGAATAAATCTGTCAGTAGAAGAAATTAGCCGTTAGTAATGAGGCTTTATGCGTCTACGCCTCTAGGCTACTCCAGTTGTACGGATGCGTGGCCGTGCAGCTGCCAGGGAAGTGCTCCAGTCACACTCGTAAACTGACCCGTTTTCTGCTCTATTTTTTAGGCAGCAGAATCTGGAATCCAAAAAAAATAGTATGAACATAGATTATGTATGGAGTAATTGATATAATTATGATATCTCTAGTGGTCGTGTAATCCAAAAGACAACAGAATCAGCATAAATCCGACCCTACATTGACTAAATGACAAACAAAATTGTGACAATATAAGTTTTTTGTTCGGTCTGGTGTGGGTGTTACTGGGGTATACAAACTCTGTGTTGTCTTCACAATTACAGAAAAAAAATGCCATAGATATAGCTTTTGAAGGCTTGACAAATAGTCCACCGCATGCAGTCAGTGATTTTGAAACCCGACTGTTACCCGCGCGAGAGAGAGAGAGAGAGAGAGAGAGAGAGAGAGGGGGATGGAGGGAGGGAGGGGGAGGGGGGACTGGGCGATAGGGAAAGAGTGTGAGGGGGAGGAGGAGGAATTGAAGGAAATGGAAATTGAACGGATAAGAGAGGAGGTAATGACGCGCGACTCCTTTAACCTCTTTCTTTACATTCCATTCTGACCTCATTTAAAGTTTGGTACTTTCAACATGTAACCTTTTAACATCATGTGACCATAATCATAAAAATCAATCAATACGATACACCCCATTTCCCTTTCCTTTCCCTGGATATTTTTCTATCGTTATTTTCTGTCTTCGTTTCTGACTCTCTCTAGGGAGTTTTGCCTAGTATCTCCCTGCTCTCTCTCTCTCTCTCTCTCTCTCTCTCTCTCTCTGTCCTCCATACCTCGACTTCCTTTTCTTACCATCTTCCTCTCTTTCTTTGTATCGCTCCACCTTCCTTTTCTGTGTTCCTCTTTCTCACCGCTTTCTGTCAAATCCTCTATCCGATTCCTCCTAACCCTACTCTCCCTCTATCCGTCCCTTGGTTATCTCTATATTATTTTGTTCTCTTTCCTGTCCCACATCCCCTCTCTCCCTCTCCCTCTCTCTCTCTCTCCCTCTCTATCTCTCTCTCTCTCTCTCCCTCTCTCCCTCATGTTCTCGTTCTTTCTTGACCTCTCAGCTTCCATCTTTTCTTTCCTTTGGCTTATTCCCCTTCCCTCTTTCCTAAATACCTAAATATTTATCTTTCTATCCTCTTTATCATCTTGTTACTCCCTCTCCCCATATCTCTCTCTATCTCTCTCTCTCTCTCTTTCTCTCTCTCTCTCTCTTTCTCTCTCCCACTCTCTTCCTCTCTCTCTAGTTCTTTCTATAATCTCCCCTCTATCACTCCCACCCCTCTGTTACCCCCACCCCGAATTTCTTTCCCTCTCTCATTATGCTTTCACTTCGGAAGGAATGACGAAATTGACTAAAAGCATCACGAGCTGTCGAACCATGTTATTTTAGTTGCCACAACATTCTTATCGAAACACACAACATACTGTAGGACAATTTAAGATATATCACATTCAAATATATTATTGTTGCAACTATTTCGTAGTGAACTATACGTTTGCATTCGATCTAAAGTGTATATGATTTTATGAAAAATATAGAATACTTAGAATACTAGTATCGAAATGTTGTGCATCAACATCTTTGTGAGCATGTACAGTTTTATAAAAGCAGCACATGACTACGGAAAAGGAAAATTTATGCAGCATTGTACTGAAATATTCTAATTTTCGAGCAAAATATATTTCCGCCCTTCATTCTCACAACTTCAGCGTTTGATCACCGAAAGATACCGAACGTTTATTAGTTTACGGCATGCCCATGTTCTCACCTTGTTCCTTCCTTTTATTTCTTCTTCTTAGGTATGCAGGATTATAACTACCTGGCAACCAATTGTTTTGAGATCACGGTAGAGATCGGATGTCTGAAGTTTCCCCCAGCGAACAGGCTATCAAGGATCTGGGATGACAACAAAGAGGCACTCATCGGATTCATGGAAAGGGTAAGAAACAAGGGCGTGGCTGAAGGGGACAGGGGCACGTGTCCCCGATCGAATGGTGGTGGGGGGGGGGGGGGAGAGAAAGGTAGATAGAGGAAGATGAAAAGGAGAGGGTAGGGCATCGTAATGTAATGAGGTAGTATGACCCCTTCCTTCACCCTTTTCCCCCTCCCCCACTAGAAGCAATCTAGGAACTTGTTATCTTGCATTTCATTTATCTAGAAATATGACCCCCCCCCCCTCATTGTGACATCATTAAACACACCTTCCTAAATGAAGATGCATTACTACTTTACTTAACAGTTATCACTCTTCAGTGTGTTTTTTTTCTTTACTGGAAATTCCTGTAAGTGTAACAGATAGAAAGAAAAAGTTAATGAATAACGCAGAACAATAGACATGTCATGAAGATTATTTATAACAATTAATGCAAACACGGATTAATGTCTCGGAATAATGTTCGGTTCCTGTATAGCGCATATCACGTTAACGTCTCTATGCGCTTCCAAAGAGCTTTGGGAAAGTATTACACTAGCTTTAGCTCCGGCAGCCGTAATCAGGCACAGTGCATTGCAAGGAATAATCCTACCAGAATGCTGAATTAACAGTGATTACAAAATGTTTATGCTATTTCATAACATGGGTTAAACGTTCTGTTGTCAGTCACCAGTCCAATTTTGACATTCTTCCAAAACCTGTTATAAATCTCAAATATTCCCCGTAGACATGCATGGTGGATGATCATTCATGTATTTATAATAGGCTTTCTCTCCAAGCTCGAGAGTTTTACTTTGTCTCTCTATTCTGCCCAATCATACCTTTTGTCTGCTTCTACTTCCTCGTCTTCCTCATCGTCATCCGTCTCGATGATGATGAGCTCGACTTCCGTCGATCAGGGAAGTCGAGACTCGACGAAGGCCTTGCCATCTGCCATTTTTCAGCTGATTCATTACACCCTGATTAAAGTGCCCCTCTCAAAATACCCTTATTTACTCTTTTTGGAATTAATAATAAAGGTCATTTTGATTAAGCGTATCTCCTGTGTAATAAATTGATGTATAATTATGATCCGCTTTTTAAGGGTGTAAACAGATGTTTTCCAGGAGGGGATCAGTTATGTCAAAATATTGGAAATTATATATTTTTTTTGATGGGATGAGTTACAATGCTAAAGGGACTTGTTTCTACCGAATAATCGAATAATACGAATCGAACAAAATAAATAATATAGGAAAAACTCAGACACACACACACGCGCGCGCCCACCATTACAGACACGCACCCCCCCCCCCCACACACACACACACTTTCTAGACTGGTAGCCATTAGGACAATACTTTTAATAAGCATCGTTAAATGACAGTTAGTTATAATCACATAGTTTGATAGAAAATCATATTACTCTTTTGTAACATGCATGTTTAAATGAATTAAATTGCTTTATTTTCACATTTATTCTATTTTTAGTTCAATGGATAAAAAGGAAAGAAATGGGGAAGTTAATAGGAAAATTGAATTCCATAAAGTTTTGCCTCTTTTCCTTCTTTAATTCCAAAGGGCAAGGCTTACTCATAGTCATAGACCTAATGATCCTTATTTTCGTTAATTCATAGAATAGCTTGAATTGGAAAGAGGATGCATGCAGGATCGTCTAGAAAGTAAAATGTTTTCTTATCAGGACGAAAGAAAAAAAAAATGAAAAGCGGCCTACACCTGCAGTTTTTGACATATTCCGACTACTTTTGATTTCATTCTAATATAATTCTATAGAAAATTGATCGTGTATAGAAAGGGCATACACACATGCATGGGAGGAGTTTTTGAATAACATATCTTCCTTATCAAGACGTACAGAGAAATCAATTGAAAAAAAAAGAAATATAAACCAATTACTTTCGCTTGAATTGAAAAATGACGCAGTTTGGTCTTTATCAACGGCTCGTTGCCATGGTTTCCAACTGAAAAGAATGCAAAATATTTGACAATAAATAAATTGATTTCTTGAGCTCGGGTATCAACATGAATTTTTTAAGCGACAAAAAGTTCACATGACATTTTCAAAGAGCATTGCACTTTTAATATGAGCCATGTTTCACATGAAGTGGATTGTAAACTATCTCAGTATACTGAATCTTAATATTATAGCACAGAATTATACTATAATTAGCTTTTTTAAGTTTCGAGAAGGGGAGGGGTACTCCAAAAATTATAAAGGCTCGGATAATAGGGTCAAATATCGGTATTGCAATATTGAGTGAATTTTTTGAATCATATTATTAGATGAGGCAATTTGTGAAGAATCTAATCATACACAATTACAGAACCCTTGAAAATGAATGATGAAATTAGCTCTTATTAACAATTTCTAAAAAAATATTCTCTTTTATTTCAGGTACACATAGGTATCAAAGGGAGGGTAACCGACACCAAGGAACAGCCGATTCCAGATGCCATTGTCAAAGTCACCGGACCAGCCATAAATCATGACATCACAACAGGTATACATCGTCATCACGGTCGTCTGTTGCTTTAGAAAACTAATACAGTGAAACCTGTCTATAAAGACCCACGAGAGACAAGAACAAGTGGTCTTTATATGCAGGTGGTCTTTGTAGACAATATGTGCATACAGTGCGTATAGTACATGTTTCAATGAGAAATCATTTTTATGGGAAACAACAAGTGTGGTCTTTGTAAACAGGTGGTCGCTTGACTGTAGTAGTCTTTAAACACTGTGGAATCTCTTCGCAATATTCCTCCAGACGTGTTAGTTTCCATGTTAGTCGTCTATTTGGGGCTAGAATGACGTTTCACATAGAGTTTACGTCTTTCTGGGTCTCCCCTGCCGGTTTATCGCCGGTTTATCGTCGTAGAACCGAAGGATCCAACATTTATCTCTCAAGGTATCTTCTCCCATCTCGGAGGTTGATTGCACACTGTCTTTACACACATCTCTGTTGTCTACCATTCTCGTATATAAGCAGTGTCCTTCCACTCCAGGTCTTTATGCCCCCCTCCCTCCCCCCCCCCCCCTCAGTTAGTTCTTGATTTCTTTCTTGGTCTGATACCGGGGTCTGATATCTTCTCCCCTACCCTACCAACAAATCTTTTAAGAGACTCTGATGTCTTTTAATGTGGTAAACGTATTTGCCTTTCTTTCTTTAACCATTCCTATCAGGATAGTTGTTGAGATCTTGTATATGCAATATCTATCTGTTAGTTTTAAAATCTTTTTATTCTCAATATTTCCCCTGTACACCCACTTTTCAAATCATGCGCTTTTCTTTTCCTTAGTCTTTGTTAATGTCCATATTTCTTTTCCATGCAATAGAACAGACCAGACGGAGCGATTTATAAGTCTCATTCAAAGTTGAATTTCACCAAAAAGTGAGAGGTGGGCGTATTTTTGTAAAGATAATTCTTCATTCATAGTTCGTCAGCATATGTTGCCTTTTATGAGGTCCTTCCAATCGAGCAGGAAATGTTATTGATGTCTAAAAGATGAAAGCATCACGTGTTCACAAATACGAAAATCTCAAAGAAAGGAATGCCGGTTAGAATTAAAATAAAATTCGAACAGCTTGTTTGAATAGGGGTTATTTTCCGCTTGTGCCCACTCATTATTTCCCCCTTTACAAAAAATGTGGCAGATCATTGTCATCAGATTTGAGAGAGATACATGCTCGAAGTAATGTCATTTGGGAAGTTCCATCAACCCAAAGGATATAATGGGTGAAATTGAAACCAGAGGAAACATGTTTCTTGAATAATTGCCAGTTCAGTCAAACCGCTTTCCTGCAATGTGTTTTTATTAGGTGGGAAATTGGAGATCACATAAAAATGAAAGTTGTTTGGTCTTTTGTTTTTTTGTAAAGTCAAGGCTCAGGATAAAGCGTAGGATACTGCGTAGGATGAGAGCGTTGGGGGAATTGGAGAACTGGCAATAAAAAACTTAGCCACCACCCTCCCTCCTTCAAAATATGAAAGAAACCAAATGTGGCCACAATACCTCAGGAAGCAAAAGTTAATGAAGGAGAGTTTTCCATTACCAGTAAATATATGTTTCTGGTTAAAAAGTGCCAGATTAGAGTAAAATAATATCCTCCGTGAGATTTGTCAAATGGAATGTATGACACGTGGGTTTATCGACTGTAACAGTGAGTGTATGGGGCTACACTCACTAATCTATGAATTAAAAAAGTTAGGAGACCCGTAAACATTTCTGTAGTACCACTTTGGCAACTATTCGTCCCTTCTTTGAAATTCTTCCTTATTTGGAAAACCAAACATGAATAATATGTCTCAGCAGGTTATTCGTTTAATACCTTGAGTAAAAGAAAAGAGAATAATTATGATGCTCCGTCTCCTTACCCAGACGTCCCAGATGTATTCGACCATGGACCTACTTCGAAGTAGTAGGTCCATGATTCGACACAGTCATGTGATCCGAGATGACTCACCGACACCGGTTCCTAACCGGGGACAGCACTCGTGGGGTTGGAATCATATTTGATTGAGCGTGCCGGCTAATCGAATTTTCCGTTGTATCTGTACCGTGCGATTGAGTGTTAACAGAGGGTTGAAGAAAATCATGTAGGGCAGTGAATTAAAAGGAGATACACATAATGCTTTTTAGTCGTCTTCCCGTTTCCTATAGTCATCCCCCTCCCCCCGTCTTGCGACAGATAGAAAAGCCAAACTGATATAAGGGCATTTTTTAAAGTGATGATGTGTGTTGGTCCGCAAAAATATGTGTTATAGTGTGGCACGGTATGTCACTGAAACAGCTCCCGTAGGATTTTTGTGCCAAAGATTTTTTTTTTGCATTTTTGGATTCATTGGGGTCCAAGCTATCAGAAATTGATGGGGTTCAAATTTTCCCGAAGACACCAAATTTCCCTATTGCGCGTTATATGAGCCATTTTTGCGCCCAATAAGGGACCCCCATGGAAATGAAGGAGGGGTCTGAAAATTTGAACCCCATCATTTTGGGCCAATTGGGACCCTTTTGGAGCCAAAACAGCAAAAACAAATGAGCTTTGGCACAAAAATCCTACGGGATTACATACCATACCGCACTATTATGCCAAACATCAAATTATGAACAGTTTTGTTTTGTTTTTATAAGAAGCTTTTGGTTTAAAACCCTTTTGAAGGGAGGGGGTTGGGTGTGAGCTATCATTTCAAATGTAAGGGTAACCGTTCAGTTAAATGCAGACGGCGAACCACAGTGGAAACGACATTTATTAATTTCATAATAATTCAAAGAACAAAAAAAAAAAGATAAATCATATCACCGTGATCACTGAAAGGTCTCTGTTCGGAGACAGAAGGGCATTAACTCGTTGTTAAAGTATATGAGTTAACATCCTTTTGACTCCAAGTAGGGATGTAACCCTTTTCCATTCGTGTCGTTGTTATTTCTTTTGTGGGTGCATGGTGGTTGTTTTGGTAAGACGTATGAGCAATCGTGACATTTTTTGTTGGGTGCGCATATCACCGAAAATGTTTCGAACAATGCTGGGATGTCTTATTGGGCACATAATTTTAGGCCTTCATGTTGGTTTTAAAAGGGTGAGGTGGTCAAATTGACTCAATTAATCTCTCATCTGCGATGTCTGTCTAATGACTGTCAACAAGTGGCCTTCGTACAAAGACCTGCTAGACGTCCGCTAATGAATTAATTAGCTCTACCGCTTGTGGGCTGCTAACTATATCAGCCTGCGGTGTCTATCATGAAAAAGGAAGATTTTTTTTTCAGTGACCGGATAGAATGCTAATATCAATCACCCAGAACCCTAAGTGTTGACAGGTTGATTAATGACATGTCAAACATTAATCGTCTCTTTGTTTTTCATCAAGATTTTCCTCGGTATTATTGCTTACATTTTCCGTTTTAGTCAGTAAATTTGGAAACTTTCAACCCAAACGAAATAAAATCGGACAGAACCAGTCAGTGCCTTTATTAATCAGTAGTGTATCCGGAAGGTGATATATTGGAGGACGGGGGCTACTGCATTCTTTTGGCCAGTCGGGAGGAAGGCAATAGAAAGGGGGAAGCGGGAAGGTGACGCTGGCCAATTGTCAGTTTACGGTACCGACCCTTTCTAGGGATTCTAACGGTGAGGGCGTTTGACGTCTTCATTCTGTGCTGGAAAGGAGATAATACCCTGATGACGCTCTACATTTATTTATTCATTTCTTTTCATTTTTGCGACAAATTAGATATCTTGTAGACTTGACAATAACTGTGGATACAATACTATAATAGTCACGAATTTCTTTGTTTGCTTGTTCAATTTTAGTTGTAGAGATTCCTGTACAGTATGCATTTTCCCCTTTGTTAGTGGCTTACTTATTAATTAATATCAGCTATTTATAATACATACATGATTGTGGAAATTCCGATCAAAGATACTTGATGTACACATTTCTACATTTAAAAAGATATTCATCTTATATATTTTTTGTTGTTCATCATGACGAAACCCTTCACCGGGTTCTAGGACAATTACCCCCTGGGCAATCACCCCCCGGAAAGTTACCCCCCGGAAAACTACCCCCCAAGGACAATTACCCCCCGGAGAATTACCCCCCGGAGAATTACCCCCCGAGGACAATTACCCCCCAAGGACAATTACCCCCCGGAAAATTACCCCCGGACAACTACCCCCGAGGACAATTACCCCCCCCCCCCCCCCGGGGACAATCAGGATTCAATAGCAAAAGACGATCTGTCACGTTGAGAGATGCTGTGAAGGCTACGAGCCCATAAAATCCCGTGCATGAACCCACATTCGTTCAAATACTTGCGCGTGATCTTCCTCATTACTACACATTTTTCTTTAACTATAATCTATGCAACAACACTGTGGTTGCTGTTTTCTACGAAGGATTTCTCTTGTGCAGCGTTATTTCATCTTTTTGTTCGACACGATGCCCTCTTAAGAAATGAAAAGTTTCGCCCAATCTTAAATTCTTCACAAACTATTTATTTTGCATCACTCTGGCACTCGTCAAGTGCTATGTACAAACGTATGGGCACATTTGTTTCTTGATTTAGTGAACGAGCAAGAAAAACAAGGACAAGACATTTTCAAAATGGTAAAACATAATGTTGTAATCAACACACTAGCACAGATTTAAGGTATGCGGGCGCCTCACCGCCGAATGTACACGAATATAAAGTGAAATACTCGGTCATGACCTTGATACACGAATATGAGGATATTCGCGCCTCTCGTTGCCTTGATTCATCATGTTTATAATTGTGATGAGTGTGGTAACAATGTGATGTCGAATAAAAGATATAAATTCGCAAAATATTGTCAATGAGCAAGGAAGAAAGACATTTTATTATTTGTTTACATTTTATTTTCTCATGAAAATAAATACTCTACCCGTTTCTGATATTTGTTTTTCACAAAATCAACGTTTGCCAAAAAAATTGTCATGTAACTAACATTCTCTTGCGGCACCCCAGTTGAAAAAACGCTGCTCTGGAATTACAAAATCATTGAGATGAATGTACCCAAGTGCGGATACTTATTTTCTTTTAATATGGCACCGTACATACCATATATTTAACTTTTATTTCAAAATAAATTACAGTACAAGAAAACATATTTTAGTTCCCCATGACAACAGAAATATATATATATATATATATATATATATTACATTACATTTATAAACATGAAGAGAACCTTAATTTTGGAATAGATCATGGATGAGGGCCCATTATACATACAAAGACAAATATACGATCAGCTGATTAGAAAAGTTACAGAGGATGCATAAATAATGATATCTTACATCCTAATTTCTTTGTTGGGCCATTTTTGGAGAGACTAGCTGTATTAACGCGTACTCATCTGCGCGCAATGTATTGTTAAATTTCTAAGAAATGTAAATTCCGTACTTTGATTTGATACATGCGTCTTCTGGCAATTGAATTCGATTTTATACATGCGTCTTCTGGCAATTGAATTTGATTCAATACACGTGGCATATTAAGTCAAACTTCACAAAGGTGGAATGGATACAGAGCGAGAGGGGTGGGTGAAATCTCCTCCTAGGAGGATACATGTACGTCAAGCAAAAAAATTTGGCAGATGGGTACGAGGGCTTTGAATGTGAGCTACGAATATAAATATAATTTATACACAACCCCTGTACGAAACAAATCTATTCCGTCATAAATAACTAAGAAAATGAAAGTTCATGACATTTTCTCTAAATAGCAATTTGAAGAGGAGCTCGCATTATACGTCACAGTGTTACAAATTCCCTGGGTGTGATTGTCCTCGGGCCGCGGTAATGGTGTCGAGGGGGGGGGGGGGGTAATTGTCCTCGGGGGGTAGTTGTCCTCGGGTGGTAATTGTCCTCGGGGGTAGTTGTCCTCGGGGTAATTGTCCTCGGGGGTAATTGTCTTCGGGGATAGTTGTCCTCGGGGGGTAATTCTCCGGGGGGTAATTTTCCGGGGGGGTAATTGTCCTTGGGGGGTAATTGTCCTCGGGGGGTAATTCTCCGGGGGTAATTTTCCGGGGGGTAATTGTCCTTGGGGGGTAATTGTCCTCGGGGGGTAATTCTCCGGGGGGTAAATTTCCAGGGGGTAATTGTCCTTGGGGGGTAGTTTTCCGGGGGGTAATTTTCCGGGGGGGTGATTGCCTAGGGGGTAATTGTCCTGATACGCCTTCACTGTATAACAACGAATTATTTCAGTCGAAAGCACCATAAAACAGCCTACACGTTTCTTCAACATTTCTATTTCATTTTCTTGATTACCTTACAGCTATTGACGGTGATTTCTGGCGTCTCCTGATGCCCGGTCTCTACACCATCACCGCCACAGCTCCAGGGTACGAGCCCCAGAGCCGCGTTGCTACGGTCAAGCGAAACAGGTCAACTTGGATGACCTTTACCCTTCACAAAGAAGAACCCAAACCGGAGTGCATCGAGGAGGAGGAGGACGAACTGGACAATGCCAACATTCTCTTCGAGATCAAAGAAGCCTTTAGAGACATGGGTTACGCCAAGAAGAAAGGATGCGGATCAGAACCTCCAAGAGAGCAGGTCAACAGAGGGCCGCTTCTTGCAACGCCTTGAGAAGAAGAAAAAAAAAACACTGACTTGAAATTCAGTGAATGGGACTATGTTATAAAATGTATATCGATATTTTTATATTGAAGGTGAAATGACAAATTAAGCATATTAATAATCATGATAATGTGATTTACGTACTGGAGTTTGTTCTCCTTTAGCAGTATTATCTCCATCCATTAGAGTTTATTTCCGTGTAACTTTTTAATTTTTTTATAAGCAGGGGCCACAGAATTTCGATGGGGCTGTCCACCCTCGACCATTGACAACCTCTCTCCCCCAAAGTACCTCTTAAAGTAGATATTCATTGATTTTAAAAACTAACTTTATTTTCATTATTGCAAAGTTGAAACTTTGATTAGACAAGGTTATCAAAATCCAATGCTTAGAAACATTCTAAGTAATGATTATTATAAATTTTAAAAAAACGCTTAAATACAGCCCCAGCATAGCACCTGAAGAGCTCTCCGAACTCTGCTGAGATGTGTGAGATGACAAGTATGGACATGACTTGCACAAGCAGACGATGTCCCATGACATCTCACATATTTTCAGTGCCTGTGTTTTCATCTTCTCTTGAGTTCTTTCTCTTACTTCACTACCGCCAGGCTAAATGTATAATCTATTGCCTCACTCTAAGCCCCGCGCATGGTTTTATTTTGATGACAAATGCAGCGAATACAAAAATAAAGGAATCTGTCGCTTGTAAACAAAATGAGACGCCATTGTATATTCAGCTCCACACACCGGGGTATGTTCGGCGTTTCAAGAGGGAACAAATGCCGTCCTTAATATCATTCCGGGGCTTTTCAATTTGAAAGTATGGTTTCTTTGATTATTAATTAACCCCTATCCTGTGTATTTACAAGCAAAAGATTTTAGTTATCAGAATCGGGTCATATCCCCTTTTGAATGGTTTGACATGCCATTACATTTATATACACTAAACTCATTATTATTTGAGAAATAATAGCTTTGCAATTATGTTCATTCTCTATGGGATGTCGTCTGCTTGGGCAGTGTTGGTCCATATAGTGACGTCATTAAAAACATTATTTTCCGGCGAATCTCTCGTATATCCCAGCTGCTATGGAAGTGGTTGTATTTGTATTTTTTATAAAACACCCGATATGTAGTTGACCTAAAACTTGTCCGATGGCCATCTGTTAGCTTACCAGTTTCTAGTGATACATTAGTTGACATATTTGTGATCTTCTTTGAATTTCACCTTTAAAGGTAAAGACCAGTTTTGGAAACGCCCCCCCCCCCCCCCGCTCAAAAAATGAAATGGAAGCTCTTAGTACCAATCATGTGAAGGAATATGTTTTTATTAATACGTGATGATACAAATTTTGCCGGGAAACCGCCTACTAATTGATATATTTGGTAAATTATTATATCTATCTGGACTGGATATATATATAGGGTAGTCCCATATACATCTTTCTGTGTACAGTGCTTGTAACTTTACCAAGACTGAGCCAAATTTCTTATAGTTTTGATGATTCCAGAACCTTGCAGTACACACCAATACTTATATGCTGGATGATAAACCTTTTCTGATCGATTCCATAACGTTTCTTTCACAATGCAATCGTATGACCAGTTTTCTTGTAATCATTCAATTGTGAGATATAAGTTATGCACATTGAAATGTATAATGGTAATAATAATCGTTACGGATCCTTAATTAGATTTACTATATACCTAATAGTTCAATACATATTCTGATCTTGGTAATGACTATACATGGTAATGTGTGCTAGCAGTAATCTTATTTCTATCACAATTGTAATATCTAATTTTAAGGCTGCTGCTATATATTTGAACTATACTATAACAGCAACAGCAACAGCCAACTACTACTACTACTACTTCTTATACTTCTACTTCTACTTCTACTACTTCTACTACTGCTACTTGTAAACATCCAATGTACATTACCAGCGATATCAACAATGAGCTGTTAACATTTTGATAAATGTGCAAATGATATTTTGCAATCGCATGCTACAAGCTTGTGTAGCGCCCCTACAACATACCAAATACACGGTTATTAATTTTCTTCAAAAATGAGACTGATTCTGTCTCCTTGAATTCTTACTTCTGAAGTAAAATTTTAGAGAAATGGATACACTTGGCAGCGGTTTACGTCCAACATGTCACCCTTTTTTAAAGATTTGGTTCATCTTTTGTGAATGATATATAATTAAGATGTGTAATTAATAATTTTAAATGACTATGTATGTGATTAAAATGTAAGTAAGTGCGTGTATGATGTATTGCACACATTTACGGTTTTTTACGGTTTACGGGACAAATCGAAACGAGGCTTGAGTGATCTGTGATCACCGTGTACATATAATCAAATGACGAAGCTACATTTCTTACGGCATACTAGTGAAATTTTTGTATTCAATGCCACGATATACGATATTTGTAAATAGAATGATAGCAATTTAATGATCATCTTTGGCTGATTTTTGTTCTCGAATTTGCAGCAATTGTTGGTGTGTGGGAAGTGGTGTATGTATGAGAGAGAGAGAGAGAAAGAGAGAGAGAGAGAGAGAGAGGTGAGAGAGAGAGAGAGAGAGAGAGAAAGAGGGAGAGAGGGGGTGAGAGAGAGAGGGAGAGAGAGAGAGAGAGGGGTGAGAAAGAGAGAGAGAGGGGGTGAGACAGAGATGGAGGGAGAGGGAGAGAGAGAGAGAGAAAGAGAGAGAGGGAAAGAGATAAAGAACCATATAAATAAAAGACAAAGAAGATGAGTAAGTTAATACTGAGTTGTATTGTTTGGAATCAATTAAAAATATATATATATTGAAGAAAAAGGTGAGAGGGGGAGAGAGAGGGGGAGAGGGGGTGAGAGAGAGAGAGAGAGAGGGGGAGATAGAGAGGGGAAAGAGAGAGAGAGGGGTGAGAGAGAGAGAGAGAGAGTAAGAGGGGTGAGAAAGAGAGCGAGGGAGAAAGAGAGGAGGAAAGAGAGAGGGGTGAGAGAGAGAGAGAGAGAGAGAGAGAGGGGGGAGAGAGAGGGGTGAGAAAGAGAGTGAGGGAGAGAGAGAGAGAGGGATAGAGAGAGAAAGAGAGAGAGAAAGAGGAAGAGAGGGATAGAAAGATAAAAGAAAGAGGGAGGGAAAGAGATAAAGAACGATATAAATAAAAAGACAAAGAAGATGAGTAAGTTAAGATGCTTATGTAGGGTAATCATGACCTACACACCAACAAAAAAATCCTTCCTGCACCCAACGGAGCATGCCAATATGTACATCCTTCATGTCTCTTTATATCTCTCTCTCTCTCTCTCTCTCTCACACACACACACACACACACACACACACACACACGCACTCTCGCTCCCCAACTATTTCTCTCTTGCATGTCTCTTTATCTTTCTCTCTCTCTCACACACACTCTCTCGCTCTCCAACTCTTTCTCTCTTTATCATTCCTTCTCTCTCTTGCCCGAATTCTTTTTCTTTTCTTTTCACTCTATTTTCTCTTCCCCAGTTCATATTTCTTCATCAGCTGAAGATCGCCTTCAACAAGTATTTGCATCTATAAAGAGTGACTGGAAACTATGTGTTATAAATGTACTGCGATTTGTACTGCAGTTTTATTCAGTAGGTGTGTGTACCTTGTACATGTAAGATCTTGTATATTGATCATGGTAAACAAATCAAACCATAACAGGACATCGTGATCAAAATTCAAAATGAAATGAAATAGTCATAGTCTCCCTCTGCGTCGTCAATTCTTTTTTTTAATAATTTATTTCTAATCTTTTGACAGGGCAGCCCATTCACCTACAAGTAGTGGTCTTCCATGGGGCCCTGCATAAACATTAACATATTTACATCGTTTATAACTTTTATACAAGCAGTTAAAAAAATAATACTCATTTGCAAAATAAACATATATCATTGACCTAGTAAACAATAATGTCAATAGGAAAATATTGATTAAGTCGCAATTATGTGAATAAGTCATGTTAATATTACAGAACATGCACGTAGTGTATGTTCGGCTGAGCCATTCACAAATTACAACTTTGTTTAAACAATCTCTTAAATGAATTGACAGAGGAAGCCGTTCTCAACGAATTATCTAGCTTATTCCATTCAAATATGGAAGAGTTGGAGAGAAGGAGAGAGGAACAGCGACACAGAGAATACCATGGTACGGGATTCGAAGGGTCCAAACAAATGGATGGACAAAGACAGGAAGAAAACAAATAGAAAAAGAGAATGGGAAATATAGAGAACGTTGTCGTTCTGAGAACCATCAAAATAAATGGCGTGACTTTGATATATTGATCAAGAGGAACGTCTTCTGTTGAGTACGGTTCATGGATTAAAATTGTGAAAGACATTGAATTTTGATTGTGTATTACATCAGGATTCGAGTATAATGAGGTTATGGAATCGTAAAAATTGAAACGGTAGTGACTAATCTTGCTTGAAAAAAAAATCACAATTAAAATCACTGCACGCAGAATGTCAGGGAATATAGGACTACACAAACACGTCATCGCCCACACGCGCGCATACACACACATACAACACACCCACTCGCACACACGTATTCTTGATTTCTTTGATCAACGCTTGTAAACCTCTCAGGTGTTTGCTTCGTGGTAGTAATATTATAGTCTGCAAGAATCGACGCCCACACAACATTTAGTACTCGACATTCTATTAAATCTTAATCAGAATGGCAGATTTTGAGCAGAACCATCGAAAGTACAGCATCTACGAGCGGATCCAGGATATTGTCAGACGGGTGGTGCAAAATAATTGACAAAATAAAGTCCACATTTCCCAGAAAGTTGTCAGTTGAATTGTCCATTCAGCCTCCACATAAATCGATCATTGGTGGGCGCGGATGGGGGGAGGAGGGGGGGGGGGGTTGAAGGGAATACCTGTGTACACTTTAAAGGACATTTTCTGCCCATATGGTCTATTCTTACTTATCTAAAACGCGCTCCTGGATCCACTTTTGCATTCATCAATTGGCAAATACTTATCTCTTGTGATGTCAGATGCATATGTGTCCAACGTTACAACACCCCCCCCCCCCCCCAATGAAAATATTTATATATAATATTAAAAAAATACATGAATAAATAAATTAAACAGTGAAGAAGTATGAATTCAAATGGGGCTTTTCGTGCAAAGGATAGAGTTGGCCTACGCCCACCAACCCCAAAAA